CTGAGAAAAAGCAAAAAAAAAAGGAACAAATTCTTCCCAGCGCCATGTACACGTCTAATAAATAATTTGTAACGTGGGTTTTTGTTTGCATCCTCGACGAATTTCCCCGCATCTCTCTCTCTCTCTCTCTCTGTCTCTGTCCCCGTCGTCATTGTTGGGTGCGTTTGTGTGTGTGTGAATGTGAGGGCAGAAGGGGTGTGTGGGCGCGGGGACACAGTCGCACTGGAGGACGAGACGCAGCGCCGATAATTGCGTGGAGGGTTACTTGTTGATGCTGGGACGAAGGTCGGAACGGAAGAAGTCCCGTGGTGGGCCACGCGGTGTTGCGAGAGGTGTGGGCAGGTATTTTTGGGGTTTGGCGCTCCTGTCCGCCGCGTGCCTTTCTCTTGCGGCGACCCTGTGGCAGAGTGGAGGCGCCCACAGCCCATCGTCTTTCGTGTGGGTGAACGGCACGCGGGACCTGCTTTCTGAGCTGCGGCTGGCGAGGGAGGTGGGGAATGCCACCACCATTAGTCGCGTCGCCGATTCCATGATGGAGGTTGGCTTGGCGCTGGAGAGCACTTTGGCCGGCGCAGCGGATAAGGCAACGGCGATAGCCGCAGAAAAGGATGTGCTGCATGCAGCGGAAACGTATCGGTTGGCAACCGATTTTGTTCTGGAAACGCTCTCTCCCGTGCTACAGGCGAAATCCGCGGATGCCGTCCCGCAGAAGTACTTTGCCGAACCCAAGTTCCTTTGGCGGTGGGTGGCGGTTGCAGCCTATGCCTTGACTACCGCATTGCCGGAGTACTTTCTCGCTCTGGATGACGCAGGGGCCCACGGCGAAGCCCTCGTGGCAGGATTGCAGTTGTTGCTAAATGCGTCGAACGCTGCTGCTTCGGCGTCGTCTCCTTTTGTGCCGAGTGCCCACACGCCCCTTGTAGAGTGCGCTCACTACGAGCGGAATAGCCGCTGGAGGAAGTTCTGCAGCAGTGGGTTTTCGAGCCTCAACGGTTTGGAGGTTCGCCGTGCCGCGATTCTTGAGGAACTCATAGCGCTCCACCCCGACTACGCCCCGTTGAGACTTCACTATGCCGTCGCTCTCTCACTGGGCCGCCAGACTGCAAAGTCAGACGTCGTTCTCGCGTTGCTGGAAAGGGAGCGTGGGAAGCTTCACACCCGAACGCATGTCGACCCCTTGCACGGGGCATTGCTGGGACTCTGCGAGGTCTTTAGATCTTCGACGGGGGAAACGGAACGTGCGGAAAGGGCGGCGAGGGCTTTGGAGGGAATGCGTCAAATCGGCACGTGTGCTCGACTCCTGCAGCCCTTTCATGCGGACATGGACAGCTGGCGGCACCGCTTCCATGGGCAAGACCGGCCAGATGTGATGGACAAGCGACAGGCAAGACGGCTCTTGGACGTCACGCAGAAAGTTTTGGAGGAGAATGGCATGTTGGAGTCCCTGCCCGCTGGACTAAGAGCGTGCGGCGAAAAAGATTGAAGTTATTCACCCTATGAGAAGAGGCTCACAAAGCTAACCAGAGTGGGAGTGAGAAGGCGAGGTGGGGAGGGAAAGAACGTCACGATTGGGCCTGTGCGTGTGCGTGTGTGTGTATGTGCCGTTGTGCGGGGGAGTGATGATGATTCGAGAAGCCCAGTTCGTTTTCTTGCTTTTGCCCCTTTCTCCTCCTCCTCCTCATTCTTTATTATTGACTTTTTGCCTTCTGCTGTTGTTGAGGTGGTCCGATTTGCCTTTTCTGTCACCTCTGCCTCCTGCCAAGCCGTGAGAACTTAGTTGGTTGGTTTTGACATTTTCTCGCAATGTGGCTACTTCTCTTGATACTCGCGGCACTCTCTGACCTCATGCCGAGCGGTGCAACTCTTGGCCCTCTGGAGCAGGCTATGGAGTTTAATTACAAAGTCGTCTTTACTCGGCAGCCCCCACCGCGTGGACTTGGCAGGGAACAGTACTACCCAGTGCGTCTCAGCAATGGGTCCGCGTTTGTTTGTGTCGTGCCGGAGGGTTCCCAGCAGCATGAGAGCCCTGCGGCGCTCTTTGAGGTGAACCGTAGCGTTCCAGCGCAGTTCCTCCAGCGCATCGACGAAAGCTTCCGTGACTTGTGCGTCAGTCTGCTTGAGGGGTGGTGGACCTACAGATTCTGCTGGAACAACGATGTGGTACAGCTGCACCTGCCGATGATGACTTTGGGAGACGGGGTTTTGTTGGAGACGGAGCTGCAAGGGTCGCCGACGCACTTTCTGCTTGGTGTGGCCCCATCTAAGGAGGCCTTGAGCTTCCACTTCGGCATGGATGCTTTTGGGGAACGCTTCATCAGAACACGGTATCCCAACGGCGATCTCTGCGACCTCACAAAGGCCCCACGAGAGACGGAGATTCGTTTGTACTGCGCACGGAACAACGAAATTGAAACGATGACGTTGCGCGAGGTGGAGGTATGCCGCTATGTGGCGAGCGTGACCTCCAAGCTTGCCTGCATTCCAGCGCTGCAGCAAGAAATGACGGAGCGGCTCATGACATGTCATGAGCTTCTTTTTAGAAGTCCGAAGGCGGGTCAACCTACCTTCTGACAGCTGGAAATTGGTGGGGGAGTTTGAAGAATGAAGGATCAGTGCGTGGTTGTGCGTCCTAGTTGTTGCTATTGCTTCTCTTTGCAGATATGTTTTTTAAGTACGCTAGATTTTTATCCTTTAATTGTTTAGTTGCCACCTGCTCTTTTTCCTTGAAAAGTTTGCGCGGACTTTTGTACGAATGGCTTTTACCCATCGCGTTTCTTTTTTTTTCTCGTTTTTTTTTGTGCCGCTCCCCTTCCACCCTGTTTTGCATGCTTTTGACTGCTTTTCTCTTCCCCTCATTTTCTAAATCTCGTTTCACGCATTTTTCTTTTTCTTTTTCACGCAGTCACGGAGGTTCTGTTAGTGTGCCTGTCGGGCTGGCTGGGTGGGAAGAAGGGCATGGGGTATGCCGTCGTTGAGCCGCAACAGTTGTTTTCTTCACGCGCCAGTGAGTGCAGTGGCTGTCGGCTCGCAGTGTATTTGTTTTGCGGTCGGGAACCGTGTGCTGGCGGATGCGGCGGACGTTGGCGGCAATTGCGACGTTGAGGTGGTGGCGGAACTTCCCCACGGAGCAGTGATAACGGCGCTTGAAGAGCATGCCGTGAGTGGCGCCAACGGCGAGGTGAACGTCATGCTTCTGATTGGCAGCGGCGATTCTGTTTTTGTCGCCAACAATTTTATGCGGAAGGAGCATCCGGGTGACCGTCGCCTCGCACAATTCGTGCTGGGCGGCATGGCAAGGGTCCTGCGTCTTCGAAGTCTCGGAGCGGGTGGCGGTGTCCTGGTGGTCACGGCGATGAACGCCGCGTACCTCCTCCGCGAGGAAGCCCTGCTTGCGGCGCGTGCGTTGCCAGCGGCGCCTTTGCTGGTGCGGCATGAGGCGACTGGGCTGGGAGTCGCGCTTGCCGCGGATGCCGTTGTCGAGGGCGACAGTGCCGCCATGACGGTTTTTACCGGCACGTACGCCGGATCGATTGCAGTTTGGCGTGTGCCCGTCGCGGGCTCTCGGAGGCGTGTGCGGAGGGCGTGTGCGGAGGAAACGGGCACTGCGCGAGGTGTGCTCCAGCCTCTCTCGTGGATCAACGCCCATCGCCCCGGCTGCGCCGTGTTTGCAGTGAAGGCCATTGCCTTGAAAGACGGCGCGGAGGCGGACCACGTGCGTTTCTGCGTTGCCACCTGCAGTGATGATCGCACCGCGACGCTGTACGTCTCCAGCGGTGCCCCCGCCGCCTCCGGCGTGACAAATGGGACGATGTGGAGCTGCTGTTGGCGCGGCGCCGGTGCGTCCTTCTCACGGCGACGGGTCTTCGACGTCTCGCTGCTCCTCGCTGCAGAAGACGACGGGAAGCTGCTTCTCGCCACAGGCGGCGAGGACGGCAGCGTGCACGTCTTCAGCTTTTCCTCTCAGCGGCTTCTCTGTGCAACGGCGGCGGCGCCGGTGGAGCCAGTGCGGCTCCTACATCGCGGACACCAGCACGATGGTCGCGGCGTTTACAAAGTTGCCCTCCTACGCAGCCGCGCCTCCGACGCCTCCGCAGTGGTGTCGTGTGGCTTCGATGGTGCCGTTCATTACACCCCGCTGCCACCCTGCCCCGCGCGACGGGGGATGATTCTGTCGCGCGCCCTGCGGCCCAGGAGACACGTGCGCGGTGTGATGTGCGACAACGAGGGAAGCTTGTTGGCGTGCACAGAGGACGAACTCATTGTTCTTCCACGAGACGCGAAGGCGAAGGAGCGGCGGCTGCCAATTCCTATAGCTGATGCAAAGAAGGACTTGCCCTCATGCATCAGCGTAGCCGCGGGGCCGGGCTGGGGGCGGCGACAACGGTACCTCCTCGCTCTTATTGGTACCACTGGTGGAAATGTGTACGGCAAGTGGTACAGTTCAGCTGGAACTCAACCGCGGTGCCAAAAGGAGGACGAGAGAGAAGAAGAGGAAGAAATGCAAGGCACCGTCGTCCTGCTCCATGCATCAGCGTCGCGTGCATCCAAGGTTTTGCTCGTGCGCGGGATGCTTTGGCGGGAGCGGGTGTTGCTTGTCAGCATTCACGTCAGTGGGGCTCTCCTTGTGTTGGAGGTCGATCCCCTGCTTAAGGCGGCCGCAACGGTGTGGATGACTTGTCAGTGTGCTGGAGTGCAAACCACAACGCTAAGCACGTGTATGCTGTCACCGCGGCGGGAGCCGCAAAAGGAAGAAGATGAACAACAGCAAAAACAGCAACAATGCCAGGATCAAGAGCTGCAGCAACGGTATATTTGCCTCTTCATGGGCGACGAGGAAGGTGGTCTTTCCGTGAGTGTTCTCCACACGAGGGGGGATGCACGCACAAACACAAAACTGCTGCCCCGCGAGCGCCTATTTCAGGGTCCAATTGCGTCTGTCATACATGAGGCACGGCATGTGGGCGGCCCCTGTGACCGCGTCACTGTGGTATCTGCGCAGGGTGAAGTGCGTGTTCTTCTCCTGCGGGCTGGGGGTGAAGGTGTTGATGTCCTTCCGGTGTCGTGTCCGCTGCGGCTGCCGTGGCGCATTTCTTCCGTTCTCGCCTGTAGCGAGACCGTTGCCGTGACACTGTTTGGAACTGACATCTCCGTCTACAGGCGCCAGACATCGCGTTTCGGCTGGTACCTGGCTGCAGAGTATCGCGGCGTAAAGGCCCCTCGGCTGCTGTCCGCAACTATTCCAGCCAAGGTTTCTGGCGATTCTGACCTCCCTGTCTTTGTCGGTCACTGCTCGGATGGTGTGCAGGCTGAATGGTTCGTCTGCGACGCGTCGAGCGGTACGCGCGTTCTCTTTGGTGGCGCCATTATTGGTCGTGAGTACAACGCCGTCCTCTTTCTTCCCAGTCCCGCGTCCGCCGTCGTATGTGGGGGTGAGAACTCGATGCTGACGGCGTTGTCGCTCCCAAACTCTTCACAGATGGGCATGGAGGCCCCTTTCACGATGACGGGCCCCCACGACTCAAATATTTTGGCAATGGCGACTTGCGCCGCCACCGGCGACGGTGGCAGTGGTGTGCGCTTTGTCACCGTCGGGGGTTTGGCGACGCTGGCACTGTGGGAGTGGTCCATCCGCCACAGCTGGCGCGTCATCGCCCACGTGGGCCAGCACCTGGAGGCTGCCGCTGGTGCTGAGGCGGAGGGCCGTGGGGTTCCGCGGTTTTTGTCGGTCTGCGTGACGTCTGAGGACATCGTCGTGGGAGGCAGCGATGGACGTGTGCGGGTGTTTTCCCTCACGGAGGGCTTGCAGCTGCGTCGCACCGTGTCGCTCTGCGCCCCCACGCCGAAGCCGGTGATGGCGGCGGCCACGCTGAGCGCCGAAGATCGACTTGTGGTCGTCGCTGACACGAACGGGGTTTTGGGTGTCTGCGGTGCGGCGGATGGAACCGTCACGGCACGCCTCTCGTTGGCCAAAGCCGCCGTAAACGCCGTCGCCGTGGGACCGCAGATTGGGACTCGGTTGCAGCAGCAGGGTGGACCGGCGGAGGCGAAGGGGGAGGCGGGAGACGTCTTCGCCGTGTGGCGCGTGCTGGCCGCCATGGACTCCGGTGACGTCGCACTTTTGCACGTGGGGGTGTCGGCAATCGTTGTTGTGTGCGCCGTGCGCGTCGGCCTCACCGCCGCCCGCGGGGTACGCTGGCTCCCCGGGCCCCCGCAGGACAACGACGGCGGCGGTGAGACCGCCGTCGTGGTCAACGACGAGCGCCTGACGTGCCTTCACACATGTGAGGCGGCCGCCGCTGCGAGACGGGCGGAGATGCTCCGCGTGGCGTGGCATACGCGCGTGAATGTTCGCGGCGTCAGCGGCCTCGCCGTTGCATCCCTGCCGAGGCAGTCGCTGTGTGCGGTGGTGGTGGGGGAGGGCGTTGAGGCGATTCCGCTACCCGCGGACGGCGGCGCGCTAGAAAGGAGGCGGGAAAGTCTACAGATAAGTGTGAACGGCGTCAGCGGAGCCACAGTCACCACGTGAGAGGCAACATGAACCACGCAGAAGTCTGAAACTGTATGGCTCCAGCTAAGTGTCTCTGTGCAGTTTCGCAAATTGCATGCATCTCTTTCTGCGTCTGTGTGTGCGTGCGTGTGCTGAGTTCGCTTGCAACGCTTCCTCCTTTTTCTACAATTGACAAAAAAACAAAGACAAGAATGGCTGCTCACAGGGTGCTGCACGCGCTAGTCCGGCGTGCAGCGAGGTATGAACGACCGTTCAACAGTCAAGACTCCCTCTTGATCGTCAAGGCGTTGCAACTCCTGCGGTATCGTAGCGACGACGTGAGGGGTGTGTGTGAAAAGTGTGCCTTTGCCATTGTTTCTTCTCGCATTACGGTTCCGGTGGAGCGCGCCATCGAGGCGCTCAGTAGTCTCTTATCGCTGCAAGCGGCCCCGCTACCCATCGTGCATGAAAAACTTGCGGAGAGGCTTTCTGAAGTCACCCCACAAACGGCTTCCCCGCACTCCATCCAGAAGGCGGCGGTCGTTGTCATGAAGCTTGGGAAACGGTACGGAAAGCCTGCGATTGCCGATCACCTCTTCGACATCCTGACACAAGAGGCGGCAACGTACCCAAAAGACGCTGCCCTGCAGTTGGCGGTGATTAGTGTCTTTATGTACACCAGTAGCGCGGCGCAACTGGAGGGAAGGCGGTGCAGGGGAGCCACAAAGGCTGGGGAAGAGGTGGAGTTCCGGCGTACTCGCGCGGTCCTAGAAGCAGCCACACGCCTTGTGGACGCCCATGTGCTGAGCAGCTTGCGCGGGAACAAAGCGCTGCAGGCACTTCACATCTTTCCTGTCCTTGCACTGCGGCCCTCAACGCATGCGTCAACCAACGGCACAGCACAAGCGGGCGTCAATGGGGGCAGCGGCGCTAGGGGTAATGGTCACAGCCTCGGCACGACGCTGAGGTGGGACCGCGTAGAGAATGCATTCCGTGAGGAGCTGCAGCTCTCCACAGTTGTTCCGGGTGGCTACGCACAGTTTTTGTTTGATTTTCTTCCGATTTTTCGCACTGAAAATAACGACGAAGAGGGTGCTGTCGTTGCGATGAAGCTGGCGCTGTTGGAGGTCCTTTGCCAGACGAACTTCCACAAGGCGTTGAACTCCTACGACGTGGCGAAAATTGCCATGGCCGTGAGTCACGCCCTTCCCAGTCGGTCTCCCTACGCGGGACGGCAGCGGAGGATGGGGGCTGGGGCGGGGACGCCAGAGGTGAAGGAGGACGGCGGCGGAGCGGGGGCAGGCGACCACCACGAAGCCCTGGAGGACCGCACGCTGCTGCGGGTCGTCTCAAGTCTCGTGCGGCAGTTGCAGTTCTTTGACGATGTTGCGGGTTGGTCGCGTCCTGGTGGTGGGCGTGTGGAGCAAGTGGCCGTCGGCGCCGTGTGGCGAGTCACACAAAAGCTTGTTTGCAGCTTGCGGCCGGCGACGGAGGAGGTTCAGACAACTGTGGCGCAGCTGGTGAAGCTGACAGAAGGCATTGCCGCAAAGCTAACCGATGTGTGGTCCTGGGTGCTGTACTCGATGAGCATGTGCGCCCGCACGGCGGTGTACACAGACGGCGTAAGGGATGTGATGGGACTCCTCATCCAAGAGTCGTTTCTCGGACACCGTCCAGAAGCGTTGCCGCTTCGCTCCTGCGTGCAGGGTCTATACGCGGTGTCCATCCTCGTGGTACCCAGCACTGAGGAAAGGCAGCTGCTGCGACGGCGTACGACGGCGGCCGTGGAGGTTCGGGAACGTGTTCGTGCACGTAGCGAAGGATGGAGCCCCGAGCACCCTTTCGTTACGGACATGCTGCAGCGTCTAACGGGGTTCCGCTTTAGGGACTACTCCGGCGATGATGTTCCTATGCTATTAAAGGCCCTTCTTCACCTGATGGAGCTGTCGACGGCGCAGCACGCGAAGGTGTCTCCTGCTGTTCAGCAGCTGATGGAGCGGGTGTTTTACTACATGCAGGGCAACCGCAACTTGGAGTGGTGCCGCATGCATGGTGTGGATATTACCTGCACCTTGATTTCCATGGCGGAATTCCTTCCGGACGACTACAAGCAATTAAAAGATGTGACAAAACACTTCTTGCTTAAATTGCAGTCTCAAGGCATGATAGACCTGGGCGTGCTTCGTCGTTGGATGGAGCAGTTGGCGCAGCAAAAACGGAGCGGGAACACATCGGCATGGCTGTGTGAAGAGGTTCTAGCGTTGCTGGCGTTGCAAATACCTCGTGTCGGGACGGGACGGAAGGAATCTTTTTATCCTTTACTGAGCGCTTTGGAGTGTGCCCATGCAATTGGGGGATCCATTGCGTTTGTCCATTTACCCGAGGAGGCCTCCAACGCCCGGCGTGTGCCGATTTTTTTTGATTTGGCGCCGCTTCTGCAGGATGAGAGTCTGACTCCCGTGGATGCGGCACATCTGCTGCGCATTATGAGTTACGAGGTGCAAAGCAGCGGCCTTTTGCGGGTTCCTCCTGCGCACATTGTCCGGCTGCGTTGCATTGCCACTTGCAACCAGGCGGCTGCCAGCATGCGGGTGGAAACGCTACTCCACCTCTTGCGTGCGAATGCCACTTTGCCGGCGTCGAAGGCGCTCTTTGATAGAGCAACCCTGGAATACATTATGGCCGTGGTTTGTCATCAAATGACGGAACACCGACTGGCTCTGATGCGGCGCGGGGAAGGAAGTAAGATTGTGCACGCCCTTCTCTCCTCCCAGGTATTGCTGCGGTTGGGGTCTTCACTGCGGAGTTACAATGGTCTAGCAGAGGCCGTCACGGATCTCTTTGACGCACTGGAGGCCACCGGAGCGGAGAGGCGAGATACGCTGTTTCAGCTGCGGCTTTTATGTGGTAACTGAGCGAGAAGGTGCCGGATGGAAGGAGGGAAAGGAAGTAAAGACGGGGATGCGGGTAGGGACGCGTGCTGGTGCGAGGTCCCGCGGCGATGATCCCGCTTGATGACGTTGTGGCTTCTTTCTTTTTTTTTGTGGTTTGCTTGCCTCTTTCTGCAGAGGCTCTTACTCAATCTGTGAGGAAGCGCCATTTGGTCATTGTGGTTTTTGCCCTTTTGCTTGTTTCCTTCTTGTCTCTCTCTCTCTCTCTCTCTCTCTCTCTGTAAGCATGTGTGGTCTGGGGAGGGTCGGTTGGATTCTGCACGGTCTACGCCTCCCCTCCCCGCTCTCTTTTACAGACACACACCCACACACGCGCGCGTACGGTGTGGCTGATAGATCCCCGCGACAGCGACGGCGAGGAGGTGAGGCGGCGGGAGGTGGCTGCCGCAAATGCCACGCGGGCGCAAGCGACAACGCGGCGAGGAGGAGCTCGCCTCCGCCTCCGCCACGACGGCGGCGCCTGAAGTCGACCCCGTCGTGCCAGCCCTTCTGCGCCAGCAGTCTTTGGCGGCGACGTCGAAATCGCACCGTCGTCGTGCGGCCGCTGCAGCGCCGTCGTTTTTGTTTGCGCCTACAACAGTTCTTCCGCCGTGGCAACGTGTGGCGCTTTCAACGTTGCGCCGACTGCATGAGAGTCAGGCGAACGAGCACCGTGCGGCCGCCCGTGGACGCATTCTGCAGAGGGATCTCACTCGGTATCTTGAGGACCTCCAAAGGCGCGAGGAACGTCTGCGTGCCAAACAGCGCGAGTCGAGGGCAAGGCTTGGCAACAAGTTGTTTACGGCCGTAGAGAAGCAGTGGACACGGCGCGGCGACGTGTTTCAGCAGCTTCTCTGTGTGGAGTTCGATGAGCTGAAGCGGCGGCAGACGGAGCGTCGACAGGAGGACCTCCTGCGTGAGGCGGAGAACACCACACGCGCGCTGCTTGAAGGCCTCTTTGCGGAGGCGAAACCTCCTCCTGCCCACGGTGATAGCGACGGTGCCGGCGCGGTGGCAGCTGCGGCTGCGCTGCAGGACTGTGGCATGACGGGATGCATGTGTGGTGGGGCCGCGCCGGAGAGCTCCCTCTCTTTGCTCGACACGCAGAAAGGGCGACGGCCGCTGCGCGACTACCAACGCTCCGCACTGCGCTGGATGACAAACCTCTACACTAAGAAGCTCAATGGTATCTTGGCTGACGAGATGGGGCTGGGTAAGACGATCCAAACCATCGCCCTGCTTGCCTTCTTTGCCGAGTACAAAAACGATTGGGGACCGCACCTTATCGTTGTGCCGACGACGGTCGTGCTTAACTGGAAGGCGGAGTTTCAGCGCTGGTGTCCAGGGCTGAAGGTGCTGGTCTACATTGGCTCCCGCAAGGAGCGACACCGCCTGCGCAAAGGGTGGATGGGCGAGGATGCGTTCCACGTTTGCATCACCTCCTACAACCTGATGGTGACGGAGCGGGCGGTGTTTCGCCGGCGTCCATGGGGATTTCTCGTACTTGACGAGGCACATCAGGTGAAAAATTTCATGAGTAAGAAGTGGCAGTCGCTCTTTGACCTGCAGGCGGAGTATCGCCTGTTGTTAACCGGGACACCGCTGCAGAGCTCGGTGATGGAGCTGTGGTCGCTCTTTCACTTTCTACTGCCGTCTGCCTCCGCCTTTAGCTCCAACGAGGAGTTTCGGGAGTGGTTCAGCAACCCAATGGAGGACATGGTGACGGGGCGCACGTCTCTCAATGAGGAGGTGGTGCGCCGTCTCCAGTCGCTGCTGCGACCCTTCATGCTGCGCCGGCTGAAGAAGGACGTGGAGGCTCAACTCCCCTCCAAGACGGAGAAAGTCGTCGTGTGTCGCCTTTCCCGGCGTCAGCGTCTTTTGTACGATGACTACATGCAGCTTACGGAGACGCGTGAGCGCATCCGTGGCGGGGCGGGTGGGGTGCTGGGGGTGTTGCTGGCGCTCCGCAAGGTCTGCAACCACCCCGACATGTTTGAAGAGCGTCGCACGGTTTCCCCCGTGGCTCTGGATTGCCTCAGCGCGATCACGTTGCTGGTGCCGCGCGAAATTCTGCTTCACGGCAATGACTTTGGTGGCCGCTGTCGCTTCCAGAAGTGGCGCCTCTGCGTGGAGGACGTCTCGCTTCCTGTGGAGCACAGCGACGACGTCTTTTTTGACGACACGTGGCTGGAGTGCGTGGGGCTGCAGCCGCTGTTGAGCGACCAGCCGCTTGCGTGCCCCTTGCCACGCTACGCTGCGGAAAATTTTTATTGGCCAACCGAGGCTCCCGTGGAGCAGGTTTTGGGTGAAGACACAAAGGACTGCTTTACGGACGCCGTGTGGTCCATGCTGTGCCAACAGGTTCGATATCAACAGTCCCGTGCCCGCCAGCGTTATGCGATGACGACCGCCATTCAAGCACAAAGACACCGGCGCATGGAGGCCACTGTGCATGTGTGGCACCCGCGGTGTCTTGAGATTGTGTCCTGCCGAGGACACGGAACTCTCCCCGCACGGCTGCGCCCAAATCTTGCGCAGCGTTCCTGTGCTATTTTGCCTATTGCGCAAAAAGTTGCGGTGTATGTCCCTCGCGTCGCGGCCGTGCACCCGCCGCGTCTGCACTGCCGGCTTCCTGTGGCACACTACCAGGCATTTCGCTCGCATACGCGAGAAAGTCTGGCGCCGCTGCTTGCGATTAGTCGTTCGCCTGAAAATCCGCATACACGACGTGGCGTCTTTGACGCCTCCTCGTTTCTGGCGGAGCTGTGGCCGCTGCATGTGCGTCGCTGCTTCAGTTTCCCAGACAAGCAGCTGCTGATCCACGACTGCGGCAAGCTGCAGTTCCTGCAACACTCCCTTAAACAACTGCGTCGCGAGGGTCACCGAATGTTGATCTTCACGCAGTTTGTACAAATGTTGAATATTTTGGAACGGTTTTTGGCCATCGTTGGTATTCCGTATCTACGAATTGATGGAAGCACCCCCGCCGAGAAACGGCAGGCCTTTGTGGATCGCTTTAACGACGATGACCGCATCACATGCATGATTCTCTCCACACGCTCAGGAGGAATAGGCCTGAACCTCACAGGTGCGGATACCGTTATATTTTACGACAGCGACTGGAACCCAACGATGGATCTGCAGGCGCAGGATCGGTGCCACCGCATTGGCCAAACGAAGCCGGTGACGATCTACCGCCTGATCAGTGAGCACACGGTGGAGGAGAACATCTTGCAGAAGGCCCGGGAGCGGAAGAAGCTTAACAACGTCGTCATTCGCGGTGGGCAATTTCACGCCATGGCAAGCGTGGACGTGGTCTACGAGGATAGTGCGGAGGCACTGGCGGCACTCTCCGACCCGGTGCGTCTCCGAAGCTTTTTCCACGACCTGGATGAGGATGCCACCGTCGTGGAGGACCCATGCCAGCGGGGTAAGGCGCACGGCGACGACGCGGGCGCGACGGAGCCGGTGGATATTCGGGCAGAGATGATGCGGCTTGAGGACCAGGAAGATCGTGAGGCGCAGCAGCACGTGGAGGATGAATTGCGGGCGCTGGAGGAGCAGAAGCGAAACGATGAGGCCGAGTTGGGCGCCGAAGACGACGACGACGACGACGACGACGAGGGCGATGTCGATGAAGCAGGAGAAAGAATAAAAAGAAAGAGACGGAGAGAAGTGACGGGGGAGGAATTAGAGGAGGGGCTGCTGGCCCCCCCGGTGGGGAATGACAGTAATAATAATGGTGGTTTGGGTGCCACACACGCCCGTGTGTCGCGTGGGGTGTCACCGATGGTGGTCCAAAAGCGGCGTGACATTCTGCGGCGGCAACGTACCCCACTTGATCGACTTCTCTCCGTGCGGTTTGGCATCTGCCACGCGGCAGATGCAAGAGACCGCTATGACGCCTTGTGTGAGACCTACGCGGCCCACGTGAAGGAGGAGGAGCTACCGCCATTCACAACAACCCTGCAACTGTGATGCGCTCCTGCTTGAGTGATCGTTTGCTTTTATTTATTTATTTGCGTGTGCGAGTGCATTTGGTTTTCTGTCTGCTAGGTGCTCCGTCTGTTTCTTCATCTACACAGAGGCACACGGTTATACTTTTGCTTTTGTGTGGTCTCTTTGCCTCACTCTATTGACCTCCCACCGCACTCTCTGCCTCTCTTGTTTGTCTCTCCTCACTTCTTTGTGTTGGCGGCCCTCCGCCTCGCCACCTGCGTGAAGTGAGGAAGTAAGCAAGACGACCGCAGCCATGTCGATCCCGCAAGTGAATCCCGCAACAGGGAAGAAGTTGGAGCCAGTGGAGCCCAACTCGGTGGAGGATGTGAATCGCGCCGTCGCCCACGCACGCGAGGCGCAGAAGGTGTGGGCCTCCCTCTCTTTTGCGCAGCGGGCGAAACACGTGAAAAAAATGCAGCGCTTCTTGGCAGACAACGCGGACCGTGCCGCAGCCATCATCTCGCAGTGCAACGGCAAAACGCGTCACGACGCGTTGGGGACGGAGATACTGCCATGTGTGATGGCCTGTAAATGGTACGCGGCGAACACCGCCCGTGTTCTCGCCCCACAGAAGCTGCCTTGTGGAAATATGCTCTTCTTCAACAAATCAAATACGCTACAATACATTCCTCTTGGCGTTGTTGGCATCATTACTGCGTGGAACTTTCCATTCACGATCCCATTCAATGAGGTCCTTATGGCATTGATGGCAGGCAATGGCGTTGTACTGAAGGTGGCGACACCGACAACGCACGTTGGACGATTTATAGAAGAATGCATCAACGCCGGGGAGTTTCCTCCCGGCCTTTTTGCCCACGTTGTCCTGCAGGGTGCTGATGTTGGCCCAGGCATGCTGAAGGCAGGCGTGGATAAGATTTTCTTCACCGGCAGCGTACTGGTTGGGAAGAAGCTAATGGCCCTTGCAGCGGAGACCCTCACGCCGGTGTCGCTGGAGCTCGGTGGGAAGGATCCAATGATTGTGCTCGCCGACGCCGCCATTGAGCGGGCTGTGAACTGCGCGTTGTGGGCTGGATTTCAAAACGCAGGACAGTCCTGTGGGGGTGTGGAGCGTGTCTATGTCCATGCATCCATATATGACAAGTTTCTTGCAGAGTTGGTCGCGAAGACGCGGGCGCTGCGGCATGGACCGGATGTGAACTTCAACGTTGACATTGGTGCGGTGACCACCAAGTCGCAGCTCCAGACCATTAAGGAGCATGTGGAGGACGCCGTCGCGCGTGGAGCACGCATCGTGGCGCAGAGTACTCCGACAGGTGATGTTTCCAGTGGAAATTTTTATCCTGCTACTGTGTTAACCGGAGTCACAGCCGACATGCGTGTTATGCGGGAGGAGACATTTGGCCCTGTCCTGCCTCTTGTGCCATTTACAACGGAGGAGGAGGTAGTTGCCATGGCGAATGACTGCAGATTTGCACTGACGAGTAGTGTGTTCTCTAGCAGTCGCACCAACGCTCGCCGTGTGGCGGGTAAACTGGAGAGTGGTGTGGTGAGCATCAATGATCACCTTTACTCGCATGGTATGAGCGAGTCGCCATGGGGTGGGTGGAAGGAGAGCGGCATCGGCCGCACACACGGTGTTTTGGGCCTAAAAGAAATGTGTAATGTGCGCTGCATCAACGATGACTGTCTTCCCAGCAGGTGGGCCCACCGGGACCTGTGGTGGTTTCCGCATGGTCACGATTCGTACGATACACTCCTGCATGCCGTCTCCGTCGCGGCCCCACGGGGGTTCATGCATGCGTTGTTGAACCTTGTCTCGCTGGGGAAGCGACTCGGCGTGATGTTCCGCCCCTGGTGTGTCACCACCGGCGGCAACGACAAGGCAGCGAAGGAAACGGCCGCAAAGGGCAGCAAAAGTAGGCCGACGTAGATATGTCTTGCTCACTCTTCAATGACCCTCAGTGGGCCTAAAAAAAAAAAACGGAGACTTTTTCTTTCTGCCCTTCTGTGCCTGGTTTCGTTGTTGTTTTTTTTTTTTTGTGTGTTTGTGTTTGTGTATGCGTGCGTTTTTCTTTTGTCTCACTGTGTGTGGCGTCCACTTTGCTGCTGACGATGATGGGCAGGGCGCGTATGTGCCGTGGCAGGCGGGCGACGACCATTTGTTCTTGTCTTTGCGGTTTTTTGTTGCTGGACACCGTGTGGCCGTTCGGGTGCGGCGGCATCGCTGGGGCGTACGGGGGGAGCAGCGGAGAACGCCGAAATGGGGGGAGTTGGTGCGTGCGCCTGGTTTCTACAGCTAAAAATATTTGGAATGTCTGCCACAAAAAAATCCTTCTGCGTGTTGCCAATTTTTTCTCTTCACGCTCGTCCCTCATCTCTCTTTCTCTCTTTCTCTCTCTTCGTGTGATTCATGCGTTTTGCCGCGGGTGCCCCCCATCTGTGAGTTGCGACAGTCAACACACACACAAAAAAAAGCACACACACACACCGCGTCCCCCACTGCAGCTGGGCGGAGCATGGAGTTGGCCCTCACCGTCTCCCCGGACGAGCGGCAGCACGTGGAGTACCTGGCCGACCTCTACGCCGTCATCGTCGCCATTGAGAAGGTGGAGAAGGCGATGCTGCGCGACCTCATCACGCAGGAGCAGTACGAGGCGACCATTCGCCGCCTGCTGGAGAAGTACAAGTCGAGTGTGTCGTACCTGGAGCAGGGCCGTAACCCGTATTACACCACCATTGATTCCTTCTGGGAAAACTACGGCTCCAAGTGCCCTGCAGCGCGGACCCGCATTCAGTTTGGCCTCACCGACAAGAACCAGCAGCAAGAGGACGGGCACACGAGCTCCACCCTGGTGCTGGAGTGTGTTCAGTCCTTCATCACGCTTATGGACTCGCTCAAGCTGCAGCAGACCGCGGTGGACCAGCTGTACACGCTGCTTGCGGACCTCATTCAGGGACTACGGCGTTTAGGGACATCCGAACAAGAATTTTTCCGTCGCCTCATGGTTTGGAAAGAGAAGCTCGACACAATGAAGGCCTCCGATGAGTTAAACGAGAGGGGCGCACGCGAGTTTGCATTTGCGCTGGAGAGTGCATATCAGTCCTTTTACGCCTATCTCCGTGACCCCAGTAAGACGAACTCAGGCACATGATACACCCCCTAACAAGCGACAGAAACTGCAACTGGGTCGTGAATTATGCCAGCACCTTATTGGCGCTACGCCCCCCCTCCCCTCGGAGAAAAGAGGGGATTGCCGGTTCAAAGTGTCTTTCTCGCTTTCTCAAGTTCTGATGGTGGTGGTGGTGCTGCTGCTGCCGCTGCCGTTGTCGCAATACCTGCTTTTTCAATGTGTTTGTTGTTTTCTTTTTTGCTGCACCTTCCCTGCCTCTGACATTTCCAGTCATTACTTACTTCTGCAGCACCAGATCGCGTAGGGCGAAGGCGAGCGACTTTAATAGGACGGGGCGGGGTGGGCAGAAGGAACAGGAAGGGGAAGTGGGGCTGCTATGTCGAGGTACGTTCCGCCGCACCGCAAGCGAGAGGTGAGCGAGATCGCTGGTGATGGTGCAACCACGGAGAACAGCGGTGGGAAGACGACCTCGGAGGAGCTACAGCGTGAGTCGTGGCAGGCGCTCAGTCGTAGCATCACCGGCATTATCAATCGAGTGAGCGGCGATAACGTGCAGCTGTCTGTCACAGAGTTGTTTCGTGAGAACATTATCCGTGGCCGAGGTCTGCTCTGCCGCAGCCTCATGCGGGCGCAGTTGGCGGACCCTGACCTCTCAAACGTCTTTTCCTCCCTCGTCAGTCGTGTAAACAAGGAGTTTTCTATAATTGGTCTCCTGCTTGTTAAGCGGCTTGTGGTGCAGTGGTGGCGGCTGCATCGCCGCCGGGATTGGACGGCGCTGCGCTGCGTCAGCCGCTTCCTCGCCTGGCTCTACATCTTCAACGTGGTGAGTGTGGAGGTCATCTACCAAATAATTCTCGCCCACCTCACCTCGGAAAAGCGCTGCGACGACGACGTCGATCAGGCGGCGGCTCTCTTTCGTGAAACGTTCCGTGCCATGTCGCAGCGAGACGTGGGGGAGTTCCACGCCCATGTGCTGACGCCGATTCGTGACCTCCTCGCGATGGACGACGACGCGCTGCGCCTCTCCGCGCGTGCGCAGACGCTGCTGGAGGCGTGCCTGCGCGAGGTGCAGGCGTGGGAGCGGGTGAAGCACACTGTCTCGATCATCCCGCCCCACTTACTGCTGGTGGAGCCCAGTGAGCAGAAGTGCCACGAGGTGGACCTCGATGAGGCGGCGACGATGAACGCGGAGGAGCAACTCGATCGCTTTTCCGTCGATGCGGAGTACGACGCCCACGAGGACGCGTACGAGGCGGCGCGGTGTGCGGTTCTGGGCGACGACTGGGAAACCGAGCTCTTGGAGCAGGTGGCGGCGGCTGAGGATGAGGCGGCGGCAGCTGACGAGGTGGAGGAGGGGCCTGGCGTCCAGGGACGTATGGGGCAAGAGCAACACCCCGCCGGAGATGCCGTGAAACACATTGTTGATGAACGCGAGCGGCAGCTTCGTAAGGACGTGTACATGGCGATCCGCAGCAGCGTCCGCGCGGACGAGGTGGTGCACAAGATCCTGAAGTCGATGCCTCCCCAGGCGGAGCGCACCGTGTGCTTCATGGTGGTAGAGGGCTGCTGTGAGGAGTCAATCTACAAGCGAATCTACGGCATGGTGGCCGAACGCCTCTGTAAGAGTAATGCGAAGTTTCAGGGTTTTTTTGCGGAGGCCTTTCGCGCGCGCTACGAGCACGCAGAGGATCTTGTGGAGAAACAAATTGAGTACACGTGCAAGATTTACAGTCATCTTTTACGCACCAACTCACTGCCGTGGCAGAGATGTCTTTCCGTGCTTGACATCATTGAAAGCGACATGTCGCAGCGCCTTGTGATTCAGTGGCTGCTGCAAGGAATGGTGGAGGCGCTTGGGATGCGTGCGGTGCAGGAACGCTTCGAGAAGGACAAGGAGCTGCGGTCAAGCACAGCCAAACTGTTCCCTCTCAACGCGCCCGAGGAGGGGTTGGAGCGGGCCGTGAATCTGTTTGAGGCGATGGGGCTCGGCGAGTTAGGTGCCGGCGTGCGGGCACAGCTGGAGAAGCTGCGCCGCTCGCGAATGGCGATGTACGCGAGCGCCACCTCCACCTACAACAGTCGGGGGCCCGGCGGTGACGCGGACTACTACAGGAGCCACAAGCGGTCACGAGAGAACATGAGGGAGTACATTTAGCTACAAACGGCGCAGGGGAGGGGAGAGGGGGAGTGGCGCCGGTGGCCGCGAGGTTTGGAGCCTATTTGGGCGGTGAGCTGGAGTCCGTGGACGCAGCCGGGAATAAAGGCGTGTGCATGCGTATTTTCCCTAGGCGGCGTCTTAACCTCTTGCTTGTTGTATCTCTCTCTCTCTGTGTGTGTGTGTGTGTGTCGGTTCTCCGCCTCGCACTTCCTCCCTCGTCTCTTCTCCCTCCCTCGCATGCATACGTGGCGGTTGTGTGTCCCACCACAGTCGCTGCGCGCCCACGCACTTAGCCCATCCCACACTTCACTTGCTCCGGTCAGTGTCCGGGAGGTAAGCTGGAGGAAGGGAAGAAAGTAAAAGAAGGAGAAAGCGGAATAAAATAGAAAAAAAAAGAACAAACGAGAAACAAAAAAAAACGAACAGGACATGGAGGATCAGAACCGTAAGCCCATCAAGGCCCATGTCTGTGTGCGTGTGCGCCCGTTCACCGAGGCGGAGGCGACTGTCTGCCCGGAGGACAGCCCTGTCCCGCGTGAGGTTGTTGCTTGGGACTGTCACCGCAACTTGACCGTCCTCGATGCAGCCAACGGCTTTGTCCCGCGCAAAAACGGCCAGTTTGACCTCGACAAGGTGCTGTGGTCGTTTCGTGACGAGGAGCGGCCAAAGGTGGTGGTGCACACGCAGAAGGATGTCTACGAGGCGGTGGTGGCCCCGATGATCCCGCAGATTGTAGAGGGTTACAACACGGCCTTTTGCGTCGCCGGTGCCACCGGTAGCGGTCGCGTCTATTCGCTCTACGGCGAAGACGTGGACGGACCAAATCGTGGCATTCTTCCACGCTTTGCAGAGAACATTTTTAACGCCTTTAAGCGGGAAAAACACGAAAACACCAAAGTCACCTGCGAGATTGAGGCGATTGACGTCTCCCCCAATGAAACCTACATGGATCTCCTCGCACAGCGGCGCAGAGTTTCCGCGGCCACCGCCGTAGAGGAGCTGAAACTCATCCACGATGCCACGGAGGGAATGAAGCTGCAGGGCGCCACACGAGTGGAGGCTGGGAAAGCGGCTGATGTCCTCAGTGTTCTGCGACAGCTCGCACGCGTGGTACCTAAGCGCAACAGCTGCCACACCGTTCAATTTCGCTTTGTGGAGACCTTTGACTTTGCGGATCCAGAGCAGCAGGACCAGGTGGTGTCCAAGTCGCGCCGCATCAATGTGCTCTTCGTCCTGCTACGCAGCATGCCAGCCGCCTTTCAGCGCTGCATAGACGTGGCGGTGGAGCACGACAGTGGGGAGAACCCGCTGGCAAAGGTTCCAACCCGTGAAACGGCCTTTACGAAACTCTTTCCAGACCTCCTCCAGCAAGGATTCAACCTCTCCTTCCTCTGCTGCGTCAGTCCCTTCTACGAACATGCGCGCGAAACGGTACAGACCCTGACCCTGGCGACAAAGTTAATGAAGCTGAAGTGCAGGCCGAAGCTGATGCACGACGAGGCACTAATGGAGCTGCGGAACCTTTCCGAAGAGGTGAAGAGCCTCAAAACGGAGGTGGTGAAGCAGATGGAGTCGACGCAGATTGTGCAACACGAGCTCAATGCGCGCGAAGTGGAGCTGATGAAGCAGGAGGCCGCCCACCATGAGGCGGAGGTAGAGCTGCGTAAGGTGGAGAAGGCGATTGCGTTGGCGAAACACGCTATTGCGTTAAATCGCTGCCGCACGAAGAGGCACAAGGAGAAATTTGAGCATGAACACAGCGCCAAGAGGCGACAGATGGGCGCGACAAAGGCGGAAAAGGACGAGACGGACAAAACTCTTGAGCAGGAGATGAAGCGCAAGCAGCAGCTTGAGGAGGCAAGGAAGACCTGGGAGCAGAAGGTGGCGGCGCAGGCGGAGAAGAATGCGGCGTTTGATGCCCGCCTGAAGGCCGATGAAGCAAAGGATAAGAATAAGGAACGGATGCAGAAATTCGTTGCCGCCCCACCGGAGGAGCGACGTCGCATACTTGAAGCGGAGGAGAAGGAGGGGGGTCCGGAAGGCGCGGCGGCGCAGGCGAAGGAGTTGAAACTCCTACAAGAGGCGCAGCAGAAGGCGGATAGCCGCTGCCGCGCGCTCGAGAAGGACTACGCTGTCGTCGTCGCCGCAGAAAAGGGAGCCTTGGCGAAGGCGGAGGTGCAGACGGAGACTGCGCGACTGCAGAAGGAGATTGCGGACGTGGAGGCAGAAATTGTGCGGCTGCAGGCAGAGGTTGACAAGCGACCACCTGGATGTCAGTGCGTTTTCATGTAAACAGCACCGACACGCACACAAAGAAACATACGAAAGTAGTGTTGTTGTTGTTTTTTTTTCTTTTTTTAAAGGAGGGATATAGCGAGAGAGGAAAAATAGAGAAAATAGACAGCATGACGGGTGTGTGTCACTCCGCGGGCTTCTTCTTGAGTTCCATCGATGTCTTGCATTCCTCTTGTTGCGCGTAGCGGGTTTACTGTGGAGGTTGCCTCTCCGGCTGCATGTAAATTTGAAGAAGAACGACAAAAAAAAAAAAGATAAAACGAAGTAAATGAGTTTGTGTTTTCTACGTCATGTGCATGTGTCCGTGCATATACACTGTATTGTTTCCGTAGAGTTTAAAGGAACAGTTGCACCCCCTTCCCTTTTCTCTATCTTCCTGAAGCCACACCCTCCTGGCTCTCCTTGTATGCCTGTGGGTCGCTGGCTCTGAGCGTGCGAGGAATGTGCGGGGTGTGGTGGGCAGAAGCTTGGGAGCCGAACACGAAAAAAAAAAGTGGATGTGATGGTGGGGACGTGTGTGGATGTGTTTGAACGACACCGCCCACTAAGATGATGGCGGCGGCGGTCCACCGAAGCAGCAAGGCTGCGAGTGAGAGAAGTCAAGCCTGTTTTTTTTTTCGGTTGTTGTTGTTGTGTTGTCAGCTGGGAGCCTTTTCTGTGTGTGTTTTTTTCTTGTTTTCTTACTGCTATCCCTCTGCTACGCATACATGCATGCAGCGTTCTACACGGAGGAGAGGGCGGTGACGACGGAGCTGCGCTTGGGCCCAGCCACTTAACAACTCTGCGTGGGATGGGTGCCCCGATTGTGCGGTTTTCTTTTCTTATTGCTCGCAAGTCGCTTTGTTTTGTTTTCAAGAACAACAACAACAACAACAACAAAAAAGCACAAAAGAAGCAGCGAGCCAACAACCAGCCAAAACAGAATTAAGAGGAAAAGTATATATATATATATATATACTATGGTGGTTCTTTCCCTTTTAGAGAACATCAAGGACGCGGCGTCGCGCCTGATACCAACACCGTATAAGGACATCGTGGTGGAGGCCACGCAGCCGCAGCTGTCCATGCCACGTGAAGAATCCGTGTCGTTTCTGTGCAGGAGCGCGAACAGCGACAGTGAAGCTGCGGGAGACGTGGTGCAGGCCGTGCGTCAACGCATCACTGAGAGTGATGCCAAGGTGCAATTTTTAACGGTCCTCGTCCTTGACGCGTTAGTGAAGAACTGCGATGCTACCGTGCATCTTGCGGTGGCCTCACAGAAGGGATTGCTGCGGGATCTGCAGAACATCGCCACACGAGTGCCGTGCGTCACTGAAAAGGAGCGCATGGCAAGGGAGGCCGCCCTGGCACTCATTTTAAACCTCTCCATTTGGTTTACTGGTCACCCGGATGGGCGACTATACATATTGACGACGATCAGCGATGATGTGCGGCATGCGATAGGCCCGAACGCGTTTGAAAATGTTGACCCGGACACTAACACGCAAATAACTCTCGCAGCAAACCGCCGGCAACAGCGACGTAGGCCTGAGGCCCCCGGGCAGGCGAGGCAACCGAGACAGCAGCAGCAGCGGCGGTGGCGGCAGGAAGGACCCGTTGTAGACGCCGTGGGTGTCAACTACCCAAAAGAGGAGGAGCTTGCCGCCATGTTGGACTGCTGCATGACTCTGGCAGAGTATTTGAACAACGCAAAGGTTCTACCGGATGGCTCCATTGAGGCCGATGATGTTATTCGCGGGTTTCGTGAGAAAATCGTGGAGGACCACAAGCTGGTGACGGTGCTTCTCAGCTCTGACCTCAAGCTCGACAACCGCGACGTTCTGCGTGATGTCTCCGATGGCCAAGTCGCCCTCCTCCGTCGGATGGAGACGGACGTGCTGCTGAGTCGAAACCAAACTTCCCCGCCGAGTCGAGCCGCCGACGTGGCCGCGACGGAAATGTACCGCCCCCAGGTGGTGACCCCTACCCCTCCGGCCGCTGCCATGGAGCAAGGGACCGGCATAGCGACGGCGACAAACCCAACGGCGCCCCAAGTGGAGTCTGCTGCAGTTTCCACAGCCCTAGCGATGGCACCGCCAGAAGCTGTAAACGCGGTGGAGGAGTCTAAGCCGTCTGCTGTGCAAGAGACGACAAAGGCGGTGGAGGACCTTTTCGTGGCTGCACCTGCACATGCCAACTTTGCGGATCCGCCACAAGCCAAGACCGATGCGGAGGCCCCATTACCAACATTAACTGCCTCCGAAGGGAACGCGGCGGAGGCGGTAGTGGAAGAAGGGCGACAACCCCAGCGAGGACAGGAGAGGACAAAAGACCAACCGGGTCAGCAAGAGAAGGCAAAGGAAGAGAAGACTTCGCAAAGCACTGGCGGTGAGGATGACTTTGATGCCTTTTTGGAAGAGCGTTTGCTCAAATAACGCGGTCGCCATGCTGTTGCGCATACGCACAAGTCGAAAAAAAAAAAGTGTA